GTTCCCTCCACGCAGCTTCAGCGCGCGTCCAACTCTCCCGCATGGGTCCCGCACCTGCGCTGCCAGCCTGCTCCTTCCTTCTGCGCGCGCCAGCTGTCCGAGCGGGTCCCAGCTGTCTCCAACTGCCAGCTCCCTTCTTCCACTTTGAGCACGACACGTGGCGATTTCACTCTATCCTCCCAATCGTAACGCGACACATGTCCCCTTGGTGCTGAATCCGAAATTCTCCCTAAAAAAATCAGAGCAAATTACCGGATTTCTTTCCCAAATTAAATATATGATTTCTCATAATTTATGTGTATTTTTATTTTGTTTCCTTTTCTTTTGTAATTTTCTAGTTTTACAATTTATTTCCTTATTTGATAGGCAACCTCTGAACACTATAAATAGAGGGGTTAGCCTAAGGTTTTAGGGAGAAGCTTTGAATATTCAGTTTTCTGTCATCTTGCTGTCAGTCTCATATTTTCTCTCTAGAACTTGTGAGAATGTTTTGCAAGATAGGCTAGAGTTTTCTTGGTGAGGTTAGAGATGAACTTCTGTTGAGTGACCCAATTCGGGGTTTTGATTCCTTGTTCTGTAAACTTCAACATCTGAATAAATTAAATCTCATCTATTTTTCTATTACTTTTTAAAATATTGTGTGCCAATTTTTATATAAGTTCAGTCACATTTTTCTTATGTAAGTATGTCACGCATTGTTTTGTTATTCAAATTATTTTACAAATTGTCTTTTACTGCAATATTGTCAGATTGATATATTGTCGATTTTAGATAATTTATAATAATAATATTTTCTGAGCCAACATAGAGATTTAATTTATTCGATTATTTTATTTTGTGAATCAAAACTTGAATTGGTGAACGAAGTATTAGGGATTCTCGACACCTTACCATTTTCTTTATTACAAATTCCCTCCTTTCTATTTTATTTGCAACAAAATCTCAAAAACTATTCTTTTTCTTTAATTCACTTTTCTCTAACGCTCTTATTCTGTTAGTCTTTCTTGTTATTTTGTTATCTCTCTGTGGATACGACCGCCCTTCTGTGCTACAATTGACCGCTTCTGAATATCACTTTTGGGCGTTAATCAGTCTATCTTAGAAAAAATGGTCGCTCCGTGAAGCTCGTCGAGAAGTTCGTCAATAATGGGAATAGGGAAACGATCTGGCACCATCTCCTTGTTTAAAGCCCGATAGTCCACGCAAAAGCACCAACTCCCATCTTTTTTTTTTTTACCAAAAGCACGGGGCTGGAATTTGGACTCATACTAGGTCGAATAATCCCTGCTGCCAACATTTCCCTAACTAATTTCTCAATCTCCTCCTTTTGGACCTGCGGGTACCGATAAGGTCGGACATTAATCGGAGAAGTTCCTGTTTTAAGCACGATCGCATGATCTTTCGCGCGCTCTGGAGGCAATTCGGCGGGCATTTCAAAAACTGATGCTCTTCGGTCAAGCACCCCTGTTAATTCTTCAGGTATTTGGCAATGACTTTCTAAGGTACCCAATTCTACTTGATTCCATTCAAGCCAAATCCCCTGTACTTCTTTGTCAAAAGCCCTCTGCAAGGCTTTGAAAGACACTGAAGTCTTATTCATTCCCGGTTCTCCTTTCAATGTCACTTGTCTGTTTCCCACCATGAATTTCATCGTCAAACTTCTCCAATTCACCGTCATCACTCCTAGGGTCTCTAGCCATTGAATTCCCAGGATTATATCTGAACTTCCTAGCTCTAGGGGCAGAAAATCTTCCACTATTTCTATATCTTGCAGGGAAACCACAATTCCCCTGCAAACGCCCTCTCCTTTAACCGATAAACCAGTCCCCATGACCACTCCGTAATCACCGATTTTATCTACCGTTAACTCCATTTTTCTCACCAAATCGACAGAAATGAAATTATGCGTGGCACCACTATCTATTAAAACTGTTACCTCTTTTCCCCGCAGCACTCCTTTAAGTTTCATGGTGTTTGGTGAGGTGAGTCCAACCACCGAATTCAGGGACAGCTCCACCACTTCTTCTTCAACCCCAGGCTCTACTCCTCTTCTTGATCCTCTGCAACCTTCTCTTCTTCACGCACAAAGAGCACTTGCAATTCTCGATTGGGACAATGGTGCCCAAAAGAATACTTTCCGTCGCACCGGTAACACGGGCCTTTCTCTCTTTTCTTTTGTATCTCTGCATCGGTGAGCCTTCGGTACGGCGCCGCCCCACCGTTCGGAACTGCGGCCTTCTCAGAATTTCCGAAAGGTCGCCCAAACGCCACAGAGTTGTTTGTCGTTCTGGATCCTCCACCAATATTCATTCTGTTCCTCAGCCCAGGCCCTTGCGAACCCGTGCCCATCCTTTCCAAGAATTAAATGAAGCCATTTGGGCCTTAAGCCCGCGTACCAGCTGATTACGTTCTTCCACCCGTTGGGCGAAGTCCATGATTCGGCCCAAACCATTTGGTTTCAACATTCGAACCTCCGCCCTTACTTCTGGTCTCAAACCGTTCACAAAGGCACTCTCCAGCACATGCTCCGGGATCTCTACTAATGGCGCCGCCAACGTCTCGAACTGCCGGTGATACTCCTTCACCGTAGTCTCTTGGTGTAAAGACAAGAATTTTTCACAGAGAGTCCCCTCCTGTGTTGAACAAAATTGCTCCAACACCATCCGTTTCAGCTCCGTCCAATCCCGGACCGCCCTTCTCCGATCTTCCCACTGGAACCAGGCAATAGCTTCTCCTTCCAAGCTCACCACCGCCATGTCCAATTTCTCTCTCTCTCCGAGAGCCTATTCATGGCAAAATACCGTTCTGCCCTAAATATCCAGCCATCGGGATTACCACCATCGAACACCAGCAATTCTACTCGTCGAGTCTGAAAATCCGAACGGAATCCCCCTTCTCGCCAGTCGGCCGGTCGGCCATCAGTTTTTGCCGTCGGTGCCATCTGTTCTGCCGGAATTCCATTATCCGTTTTCGGTGACTCTCGATGTTCAGATTCCCGCTGCTTCAACAACTCGTACATTCTAATCAACAATAATTCGAGCCCTTGCTCCAACCGTGGTATTTTTCCCAGATCCTCACGCATGGATTCTACTTCCTTCAACAACTCTTCTCTGCTTACCTCCGTTCTCTCCTTGTCGCGATCGTCCGTCCTCCTCGTCATCCCAGGAAAGAGCTCTGATACCAATTGATAAGCTCACCGACAATCGTTGAACAACTTGTATGTATTTACTCAAGAATTACACACTCAAACTCAATCTTACACTTGAATGCTAGTATTAATGGCAGAAATGTACAAATCTAGGGATTGACAATTGGGAATCGATATGGGGGTGTTCGAGTGACCCCTTGCACTCCCTAACAACTTGTCTAAGAAGTTTATGAGAAAATGATCGAATACCTCTCCCAACCTCCCCTACACTTATTTATAGTATTCATATACATTCAGTAACTAACTCCCCTTAACAAACAATCTAACTTTCTCCGAAAATGGCCAGCTCAGCCACTGAACATGCCAGCTCATCTTCTCCTCGAGTAATACTTCTCTGGCTCGTATCTCCACTGTTAGCCCTTGCACCAGCCCCATCTCTCTCTCTAATCTTCCTCCGCACGTACGTAAAACGTACCGGAGGCCTATCATCTTACTTTTTCTGCAGTGGACGACATGGTTTTGTCGTGGCAATAATTGGCATTGAGAACATTGGAAAACAACTCATTCGTGATGGTACAGGATTTGTGACATTTCCATAAGACAAGTCGGTGTTAACTTCAATGGGTTCCTGATGCAACACGTGTGAAGGATCTGTCACATATTTCTTCAACATCAACCCATGGAACACATTATGAATAGACGCTAACTCTGGCGGCAATGCTAGCTTATACGCAACCTTGCTGTTTCTTTCTAGAATCTCAAAAGGTCCAACATATTTTGGACTAAGTTTTCCTTTCGCATTGAATCTCATTATCCCTTTCACCGGTGCAACCTTAAGAAACACCATGTCGCTCGCTTGGGATTCTTGGGGTCTGTGCCGTATATCTGCATAGCTCTTCTGTCAACTGTGAGCCGTGTCCAGTGTTTTCCTTGATTAGCCTTACATCCTCTGTGGTCTTCTGAATGAAGTCAATGGTCTCGAGATGTTTTTCCCTAGGTTCATTATGCCAATAAATTTCTTGGCGGCCCGAAGGGAAATTTTGGGACGGGCTAGCCCGGCCCTAAAAGAGAGAGGGTCCCTAAGCCTAAAAAATTTATGCCTGAGCCAACAGTAACGGGCCTCGGGCCGGCCCGTTTAGCCTGGCCTAAACTTACAGTTCATACTAGCCTAGTGACGCTACTACCTGAAGCAGTCCTTTCTTTTCCATTTTCTACCCCTTAATTTTTGCTTTCTTCTTTCTATTTCCAATTTACCTTGCCTTTCTTTTCCTTCATATTTTTCAAGGACTTGATTTTACGACCTTCAAATTTAAAAGAATGTTTTTATTATCAGAGTGCCTTTTAGAAACTACCTTCCATATTTGTTGCTAACTCAGTGGTTATGTACCTGTGCATGTATTGTCTAGTGTTGAGGCATTGTTTTGAGATGAGTTGTAAATTTGAATACTATGACTTTGAAATTCACTAAAAAGATCTCAGAACTTTAATAAATAAGGTGCCGTTTGGAAGCTGTATTCCGAATCAGGATTCTGGGTCACGTGGGAGAATCTACGTTTGGAGGCCCAAAATCACGGAGCTGGCCCAAAATCAAAAGTTACTTTTAGGATCACTTTGGATCCTGATTCCAAAATCAGGGAGGGCCCTGATTCAGCCCGTTCCCAAATCAGAGCACAGTGTCCCTATGTGCTCCCCCCGAGTAATGACCCCCACCACTCTACCGACCATTTTTCCCTTGGCCAGAGAATCTCCACCCTTTCTCTGTGCGTTTCTCGAATGAGTTTGCTGAGCATCTCCTCAGCCTTTCCAGTTTTTCTCCTCTCTTTTCTTTCGGTTTCTGCTCCTCTTCCCGGTGGACTCCTCTTAAGTAGCCCAACCCACGGCGGACTCCTCTTAAGCAGCCCAACCCATGGTGGACTCCTCTTCTGGAGTTGATGAGAAATGCTTCAAGTGCTCGAGTGATTGTGAACAATCGACGGAAGCTCCACATTTGGTACCAATTTCGCCGATACTACCAAGGTAAGGCCATTTATCGCCTTCACCGGAGAGGAAACAAACGAGGAATTTACAAAAGTCCATCTGTGTTTGGAGCTCTGCCGGCGGTGTCCTTCATCTCCTCGTCGGACTCGAACTCGGTGAGGGTATGTCACCCTCACTTTATTTTCCAATTTGTGTGTAAAGATCAATACCTGGAATGGGATATGTTCGAACGGCAGCATGTGTGGTTTTTCTCTTTTACATTTTGTCAGATGCATGAAAATGATATAGAGGGAACTGATTGGGTTTAGGGCTTTCTATGAATGTGCTATCAATAGATTATAGCATGGATAGTTGTTTTTGTGAATGAAATTTCTGTAGGTAGAATATAGCATCTTGTGTTGTATGGGTTGTAGTTGGGGGAAAATTTTCGAACAGCCTGCACCTTCGTTCTTTTGTTGGTGTTTATGTGTTGTGTACATATAAGGAAGTGAATTGATTTATGGCCGATTAGTTTGCTGTGTGTCACGAGAGGATTGAATTTGCTTCCTCTGTTTTCACTTTACTGCTTAAGTTGATGGCACTGTAAATGAGTGATGTTAAACAAATTTTTGGTGGATCTAGGGTCTCCCATATAGGACTTCAAAAAAATGGTAATAGATATACTTCTTAATTTTGTGAAATACTCGGTTGAAACAAGTGAAGCTAAACTCGGCAGATAGATGCATTTGAAAGATAATGAATCAACAAAAACAAAATGGAAGATAATGAATCACATAAAAAGTTACATAATATGGAAACCATTCTTGTACCGTAATCACTTTGTTTTCTAGCATAGTACCAAAACAAGCACACAGATACATCAATCAAGGAATTTTAATTAGATGCTAACATTGGAAACACACCAAAATAGGTTTTTTACACAAAATAACTTTACAAAGTATGTGCCTGAGGAACAAGTAAAGCATCCTTTAAAGCATTTTACATCTAAAATTAAAATGCACTAAAAGTTTACATTCATATGATTATAATCATATACAGAGCATAAAATGCACATAAAATTTTCCTTGCAGCATTCTTTAAGTTCTTGTTGCTGTTGTGTAATAAGAAGCATAGATACGTGATTGGGTTCTTAGTATGCACATAAATTTCACAATGTGTCGCTCCTTGAGTGTCTTGATTATATTAGAAGGTTTTTTTTGTCTTGTGTGGTGTGATGGTGGACTATTTTTGCTTCTTAAATTGTCGGTGGCTTCTCTTTCATGTTCTTGGTTGTGAATTTTTTTGGTGGTTTCGCTTAAATTGTCGTTGTAAGTTTGTGCCCTGTTTTTGCACGCATTGGACTCCTCTTGCTTGTCCTATGCGTGTGTAGATGCCTAGGAAAAATCCAGATGAGAGGTCATTGTATTGGAGTCCCGCTGCAGAGGCGTTTCTACTTGAGCGACTATACGAATACAATGACACAAACCACGGGAAGCTACTAGATTCTCGTGACTACAACCAATGGGCTGTTCAGATGGCCACTTTTTTCGATGGATATGTACCCGACGGTGAGTGGCTGAGGGAGAAAAGCTGCCGACTTGGCAACCTTTACACAACGTATAAAATGCTGCAAAACCATACAGGAGTAGGGTGGGATCCTATCAGTAAAACTTTCACATGCTCGGAGGAACTGCAGACATCTCTTTGCAAGGTAATATGTGTGATTCATTACTCCTCCAGTAGTCATAATAGTTAGAGGTTACACTTTTGTAATTAAGTGTAACAAACTTACCAATTTCATTCTAATTTTGTTAGAGACATCGTGAAGCGAAAACATTGTTCACTCATGGTTAGAAGCTAAATGAGACGTACTTGGTGGCCGTTTTCCCTTCAAGAGTTATGGCGTCTAGTTCAGGTGCATATCAACCTGCCGCGCAAGTAGAGCCAATGGATGATGTTGCTGCTGGGGATGAACAACCACAACCTTACCAGAATGCTCCTTACCAAAACAATGATGATGACGAGATTCGTACTGAGCTTCGCAACCGCGTGGAAAGTTTTGGAAGGTGAAATGTGACCAATGTTGCCTCATCTTCATGAGTGATTAGAAAGAATTAGAAAAGGTCACGCAAATCCAATGACAGTTCATGAGAGAAGTTGCTTGATATGGTTAGGGACATGCGCGACGATTTGCGAGAGGACATTCGTTCAAGCAAAGAGAGCCTACCGAGTAACAACACTGTCAATGGACCAAGTGAAGCGGATATCATCCTAGCATTGCTCTCGGAAATGGGAATTGACCCGCGTACGCAAGCCTATGCCTTCGAAAAAATAATGGCATCTGCCACGTGGTGGCCAGTTTGGCATAAACTGGGTGATCCCATTAGGAGGGCCTTCTTAAACGACTTCGTTGACGTGCCAAAAACTCTCTTTGTTTATCAGGTTCCTAATCCATATAGCCAGCTGCCTTAGAACTTCTCTCCCGGGCCAAATCCATACAACCAGCCTCAACATTCCTTCCACCAGCCATTGAACCCCTATAGCCAGCCCCCTAATCCATTCCACCAGCCTTCAAACCCTTATACCAATCCACCTAGCACTTAAATGTTTGGTGCCCTGTTTCTATTTAAGAGTTAAGTTATATTAAATGGTCGATTTTCCCTTAATATTGGATCACAGATTAGTGTTTAGTACCATATTGTCGAGTGTAAGCCTTATTTCACTCTTTGTTGGTGTATCGGTTTACTTTCATTCTTTGTTGTATGAGACTATGTTGTGTACTATTGTATGAGACTGTCTTGTGTACTATTGTTTGAGACTGTGTTGCTGAGTACACCCAGCAAAGTCAGCCGGTTTACATTCATTTTTTAAATTGATGACAAGCTTCTGTTTGTGGACATAGACTTGTTTTTATGCTTTTGACGTTTGCTAGTTGAGCTTAACAGCAAGTTGTGCTGTCGTCTTTAGGTTGTCTTATCTTTAGTTTCTAAGCTGACGTAGAAGGAATTTTTCTGGGATATTGCATTTATTTGTGTTTAACTTAATGACAATGTTAAAAGTTATATTTGTATGTCATATGTTAAATTGTGAACCAGCAGGATGCAGCTTGAAAATGAGGAACGAAATAGAAGAATGTCTTGAAGGCACCGACGGAGGTTTATGACCGCAATAGGTGCAGCCACAGCTGGAGCCGTTTAATTTTTCTAACGACAAAGTAAGAAGGCCGATGCACATTTCTTCTTTAAAGAGTATGGACAAGGTAAATGAGTATTAGCAAACAATAATGAGACTGTAATGTTTAACAAGGTACGTATGGGACCATGTGATTTTATGATTCTTTGTGAAATACTAACTAAGAGAGATTTGTTACAATCCTTATACAATATGAGCGTACCTGAACAATTATTTGTGTTCTTAACAATCGTTGCACAAAGTCAAAGTAATCGTGAATCACAAGACGCATGGTAACATTTTGGGAAGACCATATAACGCAGGTTTACTTAAGTTTTAGATGCTATTTGTGCACTACGTGATGATTTCATTAAGCCCCCAAACTATGACAAAGTTCTTAAATTTTTACGTGCCAACCGTCAGAGATACGGTACATGGTTCAACGTAAGTTGTGTTGCTCTTTTACATCTAATTTTTTAACTATCTATCATTGGTCTTCTTAAATATACGTTGATAAATATGTTTATATTATACTTATGTGCAAAACTTTTACTTGAAATGGTCAGGACTGTGTAGGCGCAATTGATGGTACTCATGTACCTTGTACACCAATTAGTGTTCATAATCCAACGGCTTATCAAAATAGAAAGGGTGTGAACTCCCAGACCATATTGGCAGCATGCTCCTTTGATATGAAGTTCACATACATATTATCCGGTTGGGAAGGCTCAGCCCACGATGCTCGAGTGCTCGTGGATGCGCTTGAAAATCCTAGGTTTCAGTTCCCATGTCCCCCACTAGGTTACACTTCATAATGTCTTCCTACTTATGGCTATTTATTGTTATGGGCCCCAATTTGTAGCCTAATTTAGATTTGTTGCCCAGAAAAATACTATCTTGTTGATGCGGCGTATGCGAACAATGATTTTTTTCTCGCTCCGTACAGAGGTGAGACTTACCATTTGCCTGATTACAAAAAGAGAAGCGGTGGATTTCACAGACCTATGGATATTTTTAACTACAAACACTCATCATTGAGAAAGTTTATAGAGCGAACATTTAGGATTTGAAAGACTAGGTTCCCTATCCTAAGGTTGCCTAATAATACATATCCAATTAATAAACAAGTGAAGATTCTAGTTGCCTGTGCAATACTACATAATTTCATTCTCATAGTTAATGAGGATGACCCGTTTTAAGTCAATACCACCGTGATGGTTTATTTGTAAGTGAAATAGATCCAAACAATGATGATGAATTTGATGATGATGATAATGATGGCAATGTCCTGAAGGGCTAGTTGTAACGGTAGGTAGTGTTAGTTGTTCAGAGATGGGTCGTTTTAAGGATCGCCTTGCGAATGAAATGTGAGTGGAATACCAAAGAAGCTGTGTGGGATAAGGTTGAAAGTACATATAAGCAATGAGATTCTATCTCTATTACTTCATATTCATGTATCCATTATATTCGCATAAAATTATTGACGTTCGTAATATACGTTTGTATTATGTGAATAATTTCTCTTTTCAATCTGAATGCTTGTTATTTGTCTTACTTTTTGGCTATTGGCACATTTTTTTCATTTATTTGTCATTTAACTTATTATAATTTTGAGATATAATTTTTTGCATTTAATTTATTTTTTCTAATATTTTGTTTTTTTTTTCTAATATTTCATTTTTTAAAATTATATTCTTTTAAATTACACCTAACATAATTTACAAGGCCAAAAGTTGGTTCTTATTTTGGGCATGGTTCAAAATCAGAAAATAAGACAACCAAACACTAGTTTTAATCATATTTCAGGTTAGAATCAGAATCATGTCTATACACATCCAAACAAATGTTTCAATCACTATGAATCATGATTCAAATCATGAATCATGATTCTGAATTTAAAAGACTCAAATCATGAATCATGATTCTGAATCTAAAGACTCAAATCACTCTGATTCCAATCCTTATATCAAACACCACCTGTCTTGAGTTGTCTCTCTCTCTTCTTCTTCTTCTTCTTGTCTTTTTTTTTTTTTTTCCCGATGGAAAAAACTACACAAACACACACAATCGGTAGTACTTCTTGACGGCTATTATATACATATGTAGATATAGATATCATTTTTCAATATGCTTTTTCAGTCCTTTGGTTTCTAAATTACTACTTTGAAAAACCATCGGCAGTACTATACAATCAATAGTTCTTGTGCTATTCGATTTTCAAAGCTTTAGAGAGAAAAATTATAATATTCTAAGGGTCTGTTTAGTTCGCTGATTCGAGTTGAGATGTGTCTTTATGTGAGAGCTTTTTACTGTAATAAAAAAGTTAGATATGATTACTTGTGAGAGCTTTTTACTGTAGAAAACTCAAATTTTAAACTCGAATCAGCGAAATGAACGGAGCCTAAGTTTAATCAAAATAGCTCTCAATCTTGTTATCATTGTGCACTCAACAATCCAGAGCAAGTCTGAGAGAAGCTGAAAGCAGATTGTGTTTGGAGTACGTCAATTAGACCGGGAGCTAGCTGCAAACTTGGCCATGCCCATGCAAGCTTGAGCTGTCCACCGCGTTTAAGAGGCTATTTTGTCTCATACAATTAGGGGTACAATTTAAATATGTCTAGATGGGTAATGGTAAAATAATATTTTTCACATGAGTTGTAAACTAGGTAGCATCCACTGTGAACTTTAATCACCTAACGATTTCCTAATTTTGATTAGTTGCAAATAAACATCTCAGAGATGCCACTATAAAGCAACTTTCTAGCCAGCAAATGTCAAGCATAGTTCTCGCCAGTGTTTCTGTGGAATCATTTAGTGCCCCAAGCATAATTTTGGCCAATATGTTCAAACCCAATTGGTACAACTTTCACTTTTTTTTTTTTTGCAGGTAAGACTTTCTCTCAATTTACTTAGTAGACAAACAAGAGAGATGCGTATTAAAAGATATAATTCTTTTTTTTTTTTTGAAAAAGAAATTAAGGTTATAAATGCAAATTACATGTGAAACTAAGAGACTTTTCTCCAAATATAAAAAATAAAACAAAAGACTAACAAAATAGGGATAATCTTGATAAATACCCTTTAAAAGTGTATGAGTCATGATTTTTACCCTTCCTTCTTGATTCATAATCTTTTTAGTCAAATAATTACACTAATAAAAAGATATTTATCAAGAGTAAATAATAAATGTCTAAATTTATATACACTTAAAGGTAAATTCTTTATTTTTTTTTTTTTAAAAGAGAGGTACTTGATTCTTTCTTTCTTAAGGTATTAGTTTCGTTTGGAAAAGCATAAATTCAACAAGTTTAGTGGAGCACATTTGACATTGTCATCTCTTTCGCTAAGGCCATGAAAGTCTCTTATTGTTGTCAGCCTAAAAAGGGAAGTTTTTAGAGAGCTTTTTGACCAAAACATTTGCGAAAGTGTAAAGAATATGGTTACATATAAAGGAGGTTGGAGAATAACCCAAAAAATTGTTCCACCCCAACTTCACTAAGCAGCTGAAGCTGCATTCTCCAATGCCACCGTATTTCCTTACCTTAGATTCACTTGTTAAATTTAGGGCTTTTTTTCCCCTTCAAAATTATACTCTACATTTTGAGATGATGAAATGATCACATTTATACTTTTAGATTTCAAATTTGTACTCAATTCATACATTTTTCTCGTTCAATAATCAATTTCAACCATTAAAAAAAAAACACCTTTAAAGAAAAAAAAAAAGAACAAGAATAAGAAAAAAATTAAGAAAAATTAAAAATATAAAGGTAACATGAATTTAAAATTGAAGTTATAAATGTGACAGTTCAAAATACAAGGTATATTATTTTTTGATAACTTTAAAATGTAGGATATAATTTTAAAAAAAAAACCTTTAAATTTATTATGAACATTTTTTTTTCTCGATTTGTGTAAATGAGAGAGAATCAATGATGTTGTTAGTCACTTAAAAGTAATTATTTGAACCACAAATAAAACAAAAAGAGGACCAGTTCACAATGAATGGGAAAAGTCGTTACCTGGCGTAATTTCTTACTACTATGCCGGCACCATCAATAATTTCAATATAATACATATATTATTCTTGGAATATGCGGCTGGTATATATATTATAATGGGACATAACTACTTTCTAGTTCTTTCTATTCATCTGTGATTTGTTGGTAATCCCAAAAGCAAAAGCACTTTATTTGCATTAAAAAAATGAGCACTTAGTAATTAATTAAGGACACTCCTATCATAAACATGCTAGGTTGTTCTTTTGTAATAAAATTCAGAAAAAGTTAAAACTCAAGTTACAATTTTATTTAAGTTCACGTTCTTTTAAGTTCTAACTTTATTCAATTTTATTCAAGTTACAACTTTAACTCAAATTATAACTCAAATTCAACTCAAAAATTATACTCAAGTCACACTCTAGTCACACTCTAAAAGAACAGGCCGCAAGTTTTTCAAAAGTAAAATTCAAGGCACTCGACTAACTAAAAAATGCACGCATCCAAAGGCGTATAGATAATTGAACATGCTATAATTTTTCTATTACCAATATACTATTTCCAAAAATAGAAATCTCCATTGCTTGTGAGACTCATTTTAAGAAATATGACAAAAAAGAATCTTAAAATTTTTCCTTTATAAAATTATATCTTGGATTAAATAACTTGTGTCCAATTTGGCCTTCATAGTAGGACATGTGCCACAACATACTAGCCATTATTTAAAAAAAAAAAAAAATCCTTTGGCTCTTCTAAAAGTTAGAACTATAATACAATCAACAATTTTTGGTCGTGCCACAATTTTTTAAAATTGAACGATGATTTAAGTAGTTTTTAGTAAATGGGACCCAACAACAAAATAATTCAACGGTCTAATTATAATCATCATCTAATGGCTTAAAATACATTGTTGTATGGTGCATAATTCTACACACAGATTATTTTTCTTGAATAAGGGTAATAAGCCGTTAATAGAAGAACATTAGAGGTCTTTAATAGGCAAGTTTTTTTAAATTAAAAAAAAAAAAGTCAGTGAAAAACACACTTCCCCAGGCCAAATAAAATAGTATCAAAATGGGTCCTTATGTCCGAGTCAAAGAGACCAGAAACAGACGGCCGCAAAAGGAACCGTCAAGTCAGGAAGATCGACGGTGATCCAAGCACCTGATTTAACGGATGAATCGACGGCTTCCGTTACACCCTCACGAAAACCACCTGAGAGTCAACCTCAGTCAAAGACATATATACCCCCACTCCCCAAATCTCCATTCTTCAAAAGCAACTCTCTCTCTCCAAAAAAACTCTCCCTCTCTAGCCCCTTCGTAAACATAAGAGAATCCGAGAAAGAAACGCATACAATTACGTTTCGGTTTCGGGTTTTTCTTCCCGTTTCGACGGTTTAAATAAAACCCACAGCGAACAATTTCGGCACTTTACCCTCTCTCTCTCTCGAGCAGAGAATCGGCCATGGCTGAGCACGAGAGCTCCGAAGCTCTCGAAGTGGAAAACGTAAAGCGAAACGAAGAAGAGGATGAGGAGGAAGAAGAAGAAGAAGAGGAGGATGAGGTAGTAGGCGATGAAGGTGACGAGGAGAGAGACCGCGAATTGCGAGACGGCGAATTGCAGAGCTCAGAACCGAACTCCAAAGACTCTCGATTGGAAACCCTAGCTTTGCCTTCTTCACTGGAGTCGTTAGAGAAGGATCAGTGTACTGGTAGTTTTTAGCTTTTTGGTTTTTCGGTTTTGTATTGTGGAATTGTTATAGTAAGGAAAATGATTTTTTTTCCTTTTTTTTTTTATCTGTCAGATGTGCAGATGAATTGTACGTCCAAGAGGAACACTGGAGCTCAATCCAAAGTGAGTCATTGATTTTTGGATTATTTTTTTTTAAATTTTGGCATTTTATTTTTTCTTTTCTGAATTTCGAGTGTTTTTTGTTTGGCTCTGTTTCTCGGATCTATTATCATGAAATTGAAAACCCGTGTGATGATTTTTCTGGTTTGTACTCTATTTACCTACATATAAAATTGGGAAATGCATCTCATGTATGAAATTTGGGGAATTCATTTTTAGTCGTTTTTGGCTTTTTCCGCCGTTTATTGATATTATTGATTAGTGTTCTGGGTTATAATACCAAGAGATAGTTGAAAGCAATATTGACTACATGTTTTACTTGTTAATTGAGCAAAAATGAGGTTTTCTTTGATCATTTCTACCTTTCGGCAGATGTGTTTGGTGAAATAAGTTACATTTTCTGGTAGTTTGTCGGTAGCTTTGACCCTTTTGTATTTGTTATGTGGATTTAGATGAAAAATAAACCTAGAATCTAGAATAAATGTGAGACCAGCTGTGACACGCTAAAGAATTTGCTGAAAATCTCTGGAAATTTCTTATTCACGTATCTTAGTAAAATCAGGAAAGTTTTGAGGTCTTGAGGATGTAACTAAACGAAGTAAACTCAATTCTTTTTGGATGGAAGTGTTGTTTGTAGTGGATTAAAGAAGATCCATGGTAAGGAGAAATATTTTTGTTATGATATACCCGATATAATTTATCCAAGCATGATGTATAAAAGCGGAACAAATCAACATCTTGGTACAATGAAAATTTGTCTTTGGAAATTCCATACTCCTTTCTTTTTCATGTTCTAAGAGATTAAATATGAAGAAAATATATGGAGTGCACCTCTTTATCTAACTTTGTATTCACATTTATGAGAGTATGAATAAAAAGGGCCCTGTCTTGTTGGGTGTGGGGCTTTTAGTACTTACGCTGTAGAAGATTGATGAAAGTCACCCAACCTTGTTAATTATAAAGATTCTTTTTGCGTAGTTTGTTATGAAATTCAGCGTAATCGCTACTTCTCAACTTTGGTCTACACTAATTCAGATGTCTCTGAGCTTGTGGAATTTGCGGTGAAAAGCTTACCTCTTGCTAAATTGCTTCTTCCACATATGATTCACACCTATAAGTCATGAAGGTTTGCCTTGCAGCAATGTTAGTTGTAAAGATACAAAATCCAAATAGTGATGACTACATCTTGAATTACATAATTTTCACTGCCATAGCTCCAGATTCTATCTCTTTCTTTTTATGTATGCTCTACTGTATTTGGTCTCTTTCTTTTTATACTCTATAATTTTGTTTAATTATTACTCAGGAGCAAGTTGAGGTACTTAATGAAGAAAATCAGGCTGTCTCAATCGGCCAAGATGCTGAAGCTCCTACAGAAAGGCAGTTAATAGTGTGTGGACGTTTGTCCGACGAGCTATCACCAACATCTGTTACCCAATCTATTTCATCTGCACCAAGTCCAACTCCACTACAGAAACTATCACCATTAAAGGAAAAGGATCTTCGTAAGACAGAGGCAGACCTGAAAAACTCTTCATCCCTTAAAACTCTATCTCCTATTTCTGTCTTAAAGATCCCTTCTTCTGATGGTTATAACTGGCGGAAATATGGTCAGAAGCAAGTAAAGAGTCCTGAAGGTTCTCGAAGCTATTACAAATGCACACATTCAGAGTGCTATGCTAAAAAGATTGAATGTTGTGATCACTCAGGCTCTGTGACAGAAATTGTATACAAAAGCCAGCATTCTCATGATCCTCCTAAAAAGAGCAACAGTGCAAGGGAAGCTAAGGCTTCATCCACTGAGCGTATTTCTGGAACTAAAGTTTCAAAACAGCCGTGTAGAGTCCCTAAAGATGCAGATCCATCCACATCTGCAAAAGAAAGTATACATGAAACACCTCCGTTTTCTGAAAGAAAACGGCAGAACTCAATCAACTCTGATGAGAATGGTGAAGTTATGGTCAAGGAGGAGCATGCCAATGAACCAGAGACAAAACGAAGGCAAGTCTACAATGAAATTGGAAAACCTCAATTTGTTCTCTGATGAACTTTCACTTTCTTCGAAAAGGAGATTTTTTGATTTCTTGTTTTAATTTGTTCTGACCAGATTGAAGAAAAGTCACTTGGAATATTCAGGGCCTCTCTTGAAACCTAGCAAGAAGCCTAAATTCGTCGTGCATGCAGCTGGCGATGTTGGAATTTCAGGTGATGGATACAGGTGGCGGAAATATGGGCAGAAAATGGTGAAGGGAAATCCTCACCCGAGGTGCATATCTATGCCATGGTTATTTTCTTTGTAGTCTTTTTGTCTTTGCATTTTTGACATGATTGATTAGTGTGTGAAACTTATGCTGCTTCTGTTTAGAGTTATATGGTGCGTGGTCTATGTCTCATTTTTCTCAATGCTCTACCTCTATCTGGTTAATTAAGTGTGGTTTGCCTTAGATGTTAAAATTTTCTCTACTTCAAAATTGTGCACGATTAAGACAATGCTTGCAATTCCAGATTGCACTGATTTTGTGAAAGGAGGTCTAATCAGTAATATAACATATGGATGAATAGTCAATCCATCTTACGCTAAAATCATGTTGAATAGTGCATCATAAACTCGCTGCTATCTTGAGTATTTGCAAGTGCCTGCGAGATATGATTGGTGTAGATTTTGTTTCGTAAAGCAATTAATTTCTCAGTTTTTACTAAAGATTCAGTGACCACTTCAGTTTGTTTTAGATTCAGTTCCATTTACCGATAGTCTGCTTGAATATGATTTTTCAGAAACTACTATAGATGCACTTCTGCTGGCTGTCCTGTAAGAAAGCATATCGAGACGGCAGTAGACAACATGAACGCCGTCATTATAACCTACAAGGGCATACATGACCACGACATGCCAGTACCGAAAAAGCGACATGGCCTTCCAAGTGCTCCTCTAGTTGCCGCCGCTGCTCCTGCTTCCATGAACAATACGCAGGTCAAGAAATCCGAGACCATTCAAAAGCAAGTCTCTTCAACCCAATGGTCAGTGGACAATGAGGGGGAGTTGACTGGTGAAGCCTTGGACCTTGGGGGCGAGAAGGCAATGGAATCAGCTCGAACTTTGTTGAGCATAGGATTTGAAATTAAACCTTGTTGAGAGCTTCCCCCTTCTGGCCCAAGGAATAATATTAGAGAACTATTGAGGTTTGTATACATAAAGTTATCAGATTGTCAGAGTTGTTTTTCCTTTTCTTTTTTGTTTTTCTTCTTTTTTTTCACATTTCCAGTTTCTTTTTATCTATTGCTTTCTTTCTTTGGCTGCAGTCTATCAGTCCACAGTTGTGCATATTCGGTAATGTACACTTTAGGCTACTTGTTTGGGATAGGATAATTTAATGGGTAATTATTGAATCCGATTGCAAGGCTTCGTTTCATTTCTTCTCTTTTCTTTTTTTGGGGCGTCATTTTTTAGTTACGAGGGATGGTCTAGCCTTAAATTCTCATTGAACTTTATCATAATGCTTATAATTTAAAGTTCTAAAAAGGCAAACAAGATTACAATAATTAAATAGATGCAGACTCTAATATAGTCGCAAATGAACACTAAATTCGAGGATCTAACTTTCCCCAACCATGATAATGAACATGAACAAAAGCGATGCACCCCAGCACTTTAGGTGCTAATTTGGTTGACAACTTGAAATCTGTAAAGTATTTAGAAAACACTAGCTCATAGAATCGAGGACTCGAGATAGAATTCGACTGCAGTGAGTTAGCTTTTCCCCGAGATACTTTTGAAACGGTTTTCTGAAATAAAAGAGCATGAACAGTGGCTAAAAGATGGCCATTTTTCACCCCGTTTTGTTGCGGTGTGTCAACACGAGATGAATCATTTTGTGGAAAATAGGAAGGATATTGCGCACATTAGACTTTCGATTTAACAAATAAATCCTCAAAACTAAAGTACAATCATCAATGAACGAGACAAATCATCAGGCTCTCAAAATGTGGGGAAGTCGTGAAGGATCCCAAATATTTACTATGGATCAAAGAAAAGGGTCTTGAAAATCTTTCATTACTTTAAGGAAAAGAAACACATTGATGTTAAGCAAATTCACAAACATTGCTATGAAAACTGTTTACATTAACATTTCGAAACAAAGAGAGAAACATGAGACTAAGAACTCTAAAGGAAAGATGCCCTAATCAAAAGTGATGAAGCCAAATTTGATCTTCATTGTAAGAGGTGTTGATGGATAAAAAGCATAAAGGTAATCGGCTCCCATTATTCACTTGGCCACTAGGTAACTCAAGATAGTAAAGTCCATAGCTTTCCTTAGCACATCCAATCGTCCACCTTGTGACTTATTCCCGAAATAAACACAAATTAAATTAGGAGAAAACACCACGCTGCAATTTAGATCCTTTGTGAGTTGATGAATAGACACAAGATTAGTAGAGAGTTTAGGAACAACTAGGACATTTCTTAAGGTTAGAGATGCACTTAAGACTATCTCCTTTGTCGGCAATAGTGGCCAGAGATCCGTCAGCAATGGGTGATTTTTCTATTGCCTGGTCATATGGTCAGTTATCCCTAAGTTAACGACTCAGAAACTGGAGAGGTTCAAGTAGCCTTAGGTTTCTCTAAGGAGTCGAGAAGTGATCTTAGTCGACCGATGTACTCCTTATTGAATTCGGTCTGCTCTAAGCCACCAGAATTCGATAAATCATGCGGGGCGTTTCACTAGAGTGAGACATGCGCGCTTGACTTTGCTGCGGTCCACCTCTAGGACCTCTATTCTGCTGAGAGATTTGTGGTTTTCCCTGAAGCTTCTAGCAGGTTGTCCTTGGTGTGGCGTGGTTTTTCGCTGCAAGTGCAACATATATTGTCTTTGTTCGAGGGCCGAAACTTCAGTTTTCCTGTTTCTGAGTAGGCAGCGTTGGTGGCCAAAGTTTTTTCAGGATCAACCCTCGGTTTTTTGTCATTGAGCTTTCAAAGTTAACATGGCTGATCCTTCAATTGGTTGAGAATCCAGCATCACTCCCCTCCGGTTTTCTTCTACAATAATGGAGATCATCTCTTTCAGTGAGGGTAAGTCCTCTTTTCCTAAGACCTGAACTCGAACCGAGTTAAGTACAAAGTTAAGACCAGCAAGGAAATAAGAAATCCTTTCCCTATCAACAAATCTTTCGAGCATCGCTGCATCCTCACTACACTTCATCTTTATAGTTTGATAATGATCTAACTTATGCCAAAGATTCTTGAACCCTAGAGGCAAGACATAATTAAGGAGTCTTCCTCATCTGATGTTGTAAACTTCAGTTCTGTTTGATCAGGACCAGCACCAAGCAACTGGCTCAATTTTCCTGTCTTTTAAAAAAGTTCAGACGAATTCAGACCATTGCAGATAATGTTTGCCATTCAGTTTGTTCAGCAACACCACCCCGGATTCTTGCTAAATAGTCTTTGAGGCGTTGGCTATAGATTATGTTGACATCACGAACACACACAAAAGAAGAGAAGGAAACAGAAGATGGAGAACTAGGTCGCAAAGATGGCGTGAAACAACAATTCAGGCCAAGAAGAGAAGGAAGGGCGATTAAGGCCGGCAGCATTTAAAAATCGAGAATTGGACAAGGCAAAAGACAATGGAGGATTTGAAAGGAAAATAAAAAGAGTCGTCGATCTGAAACCATGAGTGAAATCATAAATTCTATATTCATGAAAATAGTTGTCCAAAGAAACCAGAATATTATTTTACAAAATCTAAAGCTGTACTGAAACCAGAATATTGAAACATCTACACGAGTACTGTCGAAACTAACATCACACTGATATTCATCGCAATCACAAGATAACTTAATCATGATCGTGTCTGCGCAATGTTCTCAGGCTTATTGTAATCATAATTCACCACGAGATAAACTAACATCGATTTCCAATCCACACGAACACAAATTAACATCGAGTTCCAATCCACACAAACATAAATTAACATCCAGTTCCAATCCACACAAACATAAATTCACAACACCTTGACATAACTAAAGAGAAATAGATAAATCTTCTGCCCTGTGTGAGCAGTGTCCTTGGACTCCTTTTGAAAAGCTTCCTGAAAAAAAAAAAAAAAAAGGCATGGGTGGGTAAGGTTGAACATGTCTGGTACAAAAAAGAAATTATCTACGAGCTTACTTCAAAAAAAAAAAAAAAATCTTTATACGACTTAAAACACACACATATATAACAGCTGATATATATATATATATATATATATATATATATGTATGTATGTATATTTTTTAAACCGCATATATATAAAAACACAACATTTTTTAAAAAGAATCCTTTATATATATTTTTTAAATACTCATATATATATATATGTGTGTGTGTGTGTGTGTACAATCACTTATTTCTTGACTGTCAAAGGAATTCAGAAAATACAAAACTTGTAACTGCCGGACATTGTAGGCATGAGTTAACTGACATATTTACTACAATTGTATGTCTTTCCATTTGATTTCACAAACGTAAAAGTAGAGTACTAAAGAAATAAAAAATTATTGTGTGAAATATTGTAATTTTGTTGGAAAATGCCAAATTAAAAAAAAAAAAAAGAAAGAAAACAAAGAAAGTGGGTTAGAGGGGGGATACTCTACCTTTGTATGTTGTCACTTCCTTCGTTTCATCTCAGTTGGCTCACTCTTGCAGATGGCCCAGCAACTCCGGGCTGCCCAGATTGTAGGATTCACTTCCGTATGAGAAGGTGACTGATGGTACATGCTTGATTTTCAAATAACCAGGCCCAACATTTGGTTGCAGACTAACCACAAATTCCCTTGACATGTTTATAAAGTCAAGAGATTTGAGGTTTGTTAGGTGCTGTATACCGGAAGGAATCTTCTTCATTAGCGGTGAAGGCTCGGATGCGAACTTCTCAAGAATGGGGAGAGCGCCGCTGTCGACTTTCATAACCTTCATTCCTTCCAAATATTGTAATCTAAGTTGCTTCAGACTTGGGAAACCACCTGATAAGGCCTTGGTGTTTGGGAACAAGTTCACGAAAGAGTAAATTCAAGAATCAAAAGAATCAAAGATGAATTAACGAAGGAACTTTATTGACGGACAAATTCTATACAAAGATAGGCAGAACTTCGAGGGTCTGCTTCCTCCCTTTGCTTGGAATGATTCCAAGACTTTTCTACTTCCAGATTATTTCTCCCCCCCTTCTCCATTCGGCTTACCTCCTCTTTTATACAATTTCCTTCCTTTCCTTTTCCCCTGCCAGCTAACCAGAAAACCTACTACTAACACTAAGAGTTCCCACTTAAGGCTAAAATAACTCTCCCACGATCAAGCCCTGCCCTTTCCTAAGTCTTTGCTCTTCCTAATGTACACTTGCCTGAGTAAAGGCTTATCAATTACACCCCCCCTCAAAAAAGTCACCTTGTCCTCAAGGTGGAAGGTTGGAAACTGGCGTTGCATATCCCCAAACAATTCCCAAGAAGACTCAAAATCCGGAAGATGGCGCCATTTGATCAACACCTCCAGAGAACCAGTAATCGGAGAGTAACGCGTATCCACAACTTGCTCCGGTTCCACCTGCAATGTCAAGTCCTCCGACAAGTTGGGAGGTAAAGATTGAGGACTATCCACCGGGCCAAGAGCCTTCTTCAAGCGCGACACATGGAATACCGGGTGAATCCGGGCATGTACGGGAAGTTGCAGCTTGTAGGCCACGGGACCAACACGAGCAAGCACCGGAAACGGTCCATAATAGCGAGGCGCGAGTTTTTCATTCACTACCTTGGCTAATGCCCGGTGACGGTACGGCTGAAGTTTCAAGTAAACCATGTCGCCGACCTCAAGAGTTATCATCCGGCGTTTCTTGTTGGCGTGGTCCCTCATGGACTGTTGGGCGCGGCCCAAATGGTCCTTCAAGTCAGCCAAAAGTGCATCGCGATCACATAATTGCCGCTCTAACTCTGAGGTAGCCGTAGATCCGACCTCAAAAGGAACCAACCGCGGAGGATCTCGACCATAGAGAGCCTTAAAAGGCGTCATGGCCGCTGAAACGTGAAAACTCGTATTGTACCAATATTCAGCCCACGGAAGGTGCGTAAACCACTGCCGAGGATGGCTGGATACAAAACAGCGCAAGTAAGCCTCTAAACAGCGGTTGACAACCTCAGTTTGCACATCCGTTTGCGGGTGATAGGCCGTACTCCGACACAAAGTGGTACCCTGCAACCGGAAAAGTTCCTTCCAAAAATGGCTCATAAAGATCTTGTCGCGATCGGAGATTATACTCCGCGGAAAACCATGAAGACGCACTATGTCACGCACAAAGGTAGCAGCCACTAGATTGGCCGAAAACGGATGCTTAAGGCCAACGAAGTGACCATACTTACTAAGTCGATCAACTACAACCAA